GCTCACTACTTTCAAATCCTAGCACATATACTTTCCATATATTTTGATTGAAGTTGAATGAAAATTTTGAAGACAGATGCATTAATGGAAAACATATATGGCTTTGTGAGAGATTAAAATACTGGGAAGGGTTGCTAATGATATAATATATGCAAATAAATGCAAAATACGTGGTATTGGTACTCTGCAATTAATTTCATCTCAGTGTGTGAAGTGGTTAACTGCAAGGAAATTAGATGTTGTCTTTTAAGTTTGACAGTTTTTCTCTTTCGACAAAAAAATAATGGTTGCATAGAAAGTATTTAATTTGTGTTCATTGTACAATGTTTTTAATAGAGTAATGTCTAATAATAAGGGTGAGCGATATCATCTTCCTAATTTTCGACGTGGAAGTCAACCAAGAGGGAAGAAAGAAATATTTAACCATAGGCATTCTTCTCTAAGATGCACAATCGAAAGAACTTTTGGTGTTTGGAAAAATCGTTGGAGAATGATACGAGAAATGCATAACTTTCCTATGGAAAAACAAATACAAATGGTTGTTGCTTCAATGGCTCTTCACAACTTTATAAGATGTCATTCAATGACAGATCAAGAATTCCAACCGTACGATGATGATGATGAGCTACTTCCCTCCGGTGGGGTGGGAGTTACTATAGGGGAAGAGATGGTTGAAGAACAAAATCTAACACATGGGCGTGAGATGGCTGACGAACGTGAGAGAATTGCAAATCTTCTTATGTCTGGTTAATTCCTTTTTTAGTTTCAAAGAATGATTAAAAATTATACTTGGTGAAGTTCATACTTTTTTAAGTTATGTTTTTATTTTGGGATCCTGTAAATTTTTATTTCCTATGTTTATTATAATATTTTTGGGATTCTTTAAATTTTTTTAAAGTAATTTTAAAAGTGCTTTTATTGTGTCAACCAAACACTCAACAAAATATCAAAAACGCTTTTATGTAGTATAAAAGCACTTTTAAATGTGACATCCAAACGACAAACTGCTTCTTTGTAGAAGTGCTTAAGTCATAAGCGCTACTGGCATAAGCGCTACTAGCATAAGCACTTCGGAAAGAAGCACTCCCAAACGAGCCCTTAGGAAATAAATCTCCTTGATTTAGTAGGTTAACTCACGTTAACATTTTTGACAAACCCAACAAGGCCGAGTAAGAAGAAGCTGAGTGGAGGAAGCTCTGATTTTCATTAAATAAAGCGACAGTTAAGTAAATCAATTTAAATAGAGAGAAGGCCATGGCTATAGTAGAGTATTAGAATAGACAACAAGAACATATTCATTCAATCCGCTGGTCTTGGCTTCCTTGTTCAGTATCAAACTAGTCACCTGAGCAAGAATCGCCATCACCATTCCCACAAAAGGCATTGAAATCCCCATCCCCATATGTAACTCTCTATCTCTCTCTCTCTCTCTCTCTCTCTCTCTCTCTCTAAGCAGGGCAAGAACATAAGAGTCACAACCACAAAAATGGAAGCATGAAACTGAACCCAAGCATGGTATATTTTTTGGCATTAAAATAGTCAAGAATTGATTTCAAGCCCAAGAAAATTGAGTGACATTTGATGGAAGAGCATATCTTATCTGGTTAGATGTTTAAAACAGAAACCATATGTTATCTGGTGTTATGCAGAAATAATGCAAATGTCTTAAGTTTTCATGTTCAATGTCAACGGTTAGATGTTTAAAATAAAAACCATACATGAATGATTTTATACTTCCATTCTTGCTTGCTTGCTCTATGCCCTATATATGAAAGGTAAAGGCCAATGGCCCAATGTTTTTATTTTATTTTGGATATGATCCTAACTAGTTTATCAATAGTACTAAACCAATTAACCTTTTTTTATAGAAACTTTCCTATTGAAAAGGGTGATAGCATATTAAAATCACACACACTACACAGATGCTAAGACTTGAACCCAGGACATTTCCTGAGGAGAGCAATTGCTCCAAACCACTACTTAGAGCATCTCCAAGGGTGATGTGAAATGCAAAATGTTAAATTTGAATTTGATGGCTTATGTGGCAATTTGACATTTTAGAAAAAATTGAACTCCACAAGAAATACCAAATATCATATTATTGTATTGTATTTTTAAAAGCAAATGGGGCCCATATGATGCATCAAGTCTTTAAAAAGTGTAAATGATAGTGGGGTCCATAACTAAAAAAATATTAAAATAACATTTGACATCAAGCTTTTTGATATGTTATTTTTGACATATCTCTTTCAACCTTCAAATCCATGTAGGATTTGACTACTCGATTGTGATAACAGTACAGAAGATTGAAGAAGAAAGCAGAGAAAGAACTCAGAATTTTGTATTGATCTTGATTATATAATGATTACAATGTAAAGCTCAGCTTATATACCTGATAACAGACTTAGAGACTAAGTAAACTCAGCTTAACAAACTAACATATTCTACTAACAATTCTAACTAGAACACGTGGCCTCCATGTGCTATTCTAACAATCTTAAGCTGACCTGGACAATACAATTATCATTCCCCCCTCAAACCCAGCTGGGTTGCTAAGTTGCAAATTTCTACAATGTCTTAGAAAAATAAGACCATGCAAACCCTTTAGGAAGATGTCTACTACTTGTTCTTCAGTGGGAATATACTGCATAATCAAGTCCTTTTTCTGTACTTTTTTTCTTACAAAATGAAAGTCAATATCTAAATGTTTAATCCTGGAATGATATACAAGATTGGAACTCAAGGCAAAGGCTGAAAGATTGTCAAAGTGGATTGTAGGAGGCTGTGGTAAAAACACCTTCAGATCAAGTAAAACTTGTCAAACCCAAGCTGAATTAGCTGTTATATTAGCCAATGCCCTGTACTCAGCCTCAGTTGAACTTCTAGAAACAGAAGTTGGCTTCTTAGACTGCCAAGATACTGGATTGTTTCCAAGAAACACCACAAAACCCGTAGTTGACCTGCGAGTGTTTACATTTGAAGCCCAATCTGCATCACTATAAGCATGAAGATCCCAAGATCCACTTGTAAAAGTCAGACCATGATCCAAAGTACCATGAATATATCTCAAGATTCTCTTAACCAACTAAAAATGTAATTCGGAGGACTAAGTCATAAACTGACATACTGTATTAACAACATAACAAAGATTAGGTCTAGTAAATGTCAAATACTGCAGTGCTCCAACAATACTTCTATAAATGGTTGGATCAGATAAAGAGTCACCCTTAGAAGCCAAAACCTGACAATGTGGCTTACATGGAGTAGCACAAGGTCGACATGTATTCATATCAGCTTTGGCAAGTAAATCTTTAGCATATTTGGTTTGACAGACAAAGATATCTCCATTTAAATTATAAGAAATCTGCAAGCCTAAGAAGTATGTTAACCGTCCCATGTCTTTCATTTCAAACACAACATTTAATTCATTAATAACTTCTTGAACTAGACTATCTTTAGAACCAGTCAAGATGATATCATCAACATATACTTTAAGGATGACACTATCTAAACCAACATGCTTAACAAAGAAACTATGATCAAAATGAGAAACAGTAAAACCAATGGCTGGAAGATGACCTATAAATTTTGCATTCCAAGCCCTTGGTTCTTGTTTTAGCCCATAGCGAGATTTTCTTAATCGACAAACAAAATTTGGATATGCAGAATCTTCAAAACCTTGAGGTTGTCTCATAAAAACTTCTTCTTCAAGATCACCATGAAGAAAAGCATTCTTCACCTTAAGTTGTCTAAAAGACCACTTGTTCATGGCTATAATACTCAAAATTAATCTAATTGTTGTGTGCCTCACAACAGGGACTAAATGTCTCACTAAAATCAAGACCAAGACTTTGACTGAAACCTTGTGCAACCAGTCAAGCCTTATGTCTTGCTACAGAGCCATTTGAGTTCTTCTTTACTCTATAAACCCATCAGCTTCCAACAATATTTTTATCCAAAGACAAAGGAACTAAATCCCATGTGCCTTGTGCATGCAAAGCCTTAATTTCTTCTTCCATAGCCTATACCCAAACAAAGGACTGACAAGCAACCTTATAAGTAGATGGTTTAGCAACTTCATGGAGTTGTGGAAGAGTAGCAAGATAACATTGATAATCCTCAAATTGCTTAAACTTGACAATACCATTCTTAGACCTTGTCTGCATAGGACGAATCATAGTTGGTGAAGAGGAAACTAATGAAAAGGAGTCATTAGGAGGCAAAATAACTTCTAACTGTTGAGCATTAAGAACTGGTAAATGCTGTGTAGATTCTGCACTAGAAGTAACTAAAACTGGATCATTACCATATGATGTAGAAGCAAGATAAGGCACATCAGAGGGGTGTGAAGATGCAATGCTAGAATCTGTACTAGAAGCATAAGGAGACATACTAGTTGAAACTGAAACTACAATTGGGGAAGCCGTGAAAGAAGAAGGATCACATGAAGAAAAAGTGCTAGATTGAATTGAGGACTCTGATTGCTTAAAAGGAAAGATACTCTCATCATGAACCACATGTCTAGAAATAATAAACTTCTGAGTAGTTGTGTTATAGCATATAACACCTTTATATCCCTGAGAATATCCCATGAAGACACACTGTACAGTCCGAGGTTGAAGTTTATGTTCATTAAAGGGTCTAATATATGGATATACAACTGTACCAAAGACTCTTAGATGTTGAAGAGGTGGAATCTTGTCAAACAGCTTCTGAAAAGGAGACTTATGTCCAAGAGCAACACTAGGCATGAAATTGATTAAGTAAGCAGCATGTGCCAAAGCATGATACCAGAATTAACCAGGAAGTTTGGCAGTAACTAAAAGAGTTAATGCAGTTTCTATAACATGCCGATTCTTTCTCTCAGCTAAACCATTTTGTTGAGATGTGTATGGACAAGACGACTTGTGAATTATGCCTTTGGAGTCAAGAAAAGAAGCAAACAGTGTACTATGAAACTCACCACTGCCATCACTTCGAAAATATTGAATCTTGGCACCAAAATGAGTACTAATGAAGGCATAGAACTTAAGAAAGATCTCAAAAACTCCAGATTTATTGAAAAGTGGATAAAGCCACAGGAAACCAGTATATTCATCAACATATGAAACATAATAGCGATATCCATCTATGGATTTATTTCGAGAGGGACCCCATACATCACTATGAATCCTCTGAAAAGCTATACGAGACTTAATATGCTCACTAGGAAAAGGCAACTTATGCATTTTGCCTTGTAAACAAGCATAACACAATTCAGCAGAAACAAACACAACAGAGGCTTGAAGCATTATTTTCACTACTTCATTTGTTGGATGACCTAACCTTTGATGCCAAAGAGAATACTTTATTTGCTGTCCAAGATAGGCAACTGGAGCAGAAGAAAAACGAGAATCATTATGCAAGACAGAAGAAGTAGCTAGAGGAATCTAATAAAGGCCTTGATTACTCTTGCTTGAAGAACAATTTGCTTGGTGAGCTTGTCATGTATGCAAAAACCAGAGGCATCAAAAGTGATAAAACAATTGTTATCGTTACACAATTGATGAACCGATAATAGATTGGCCATAAGCTTTGGACATTCTGGCACAACATGAGACTTGTATGAACCAGAACCACCATAATTGGAAGAAGGAGAGCCACAAAAACCATAAGAGCAAAATTGACAATTCTGATTTCGACCACCATTAAAGCGGCCACGGCCAGAAGAATAGTCGCGTGACACAGAGAAGCCACGAGAAGAATTCACAGGAGGTAAAGGTTGTGAGGGAGTCGTTAGTAAACCTTGACCAGAAGCGACAGAAGATTTCTGAACACCAGAAGATGAATTCGCAGCATACATACCAGAATGATGAATAATACGAGCCTCAGCAGTTTGCTCTGTAGCTAGAAGTTGAGCTTGAAAATCTTTAAGAGTGATCGGATAATCACGAGCAATCAACACAGTCTTGATAATGTCATATTCCGGTGGTAAACCATTCAACGCAGCAATAACAAAATCATCATCGGAAATGATAACAGCAATTGCACGCAATTGGTCACGAATTTGTTTAAGATGAAGTAAGAAACATTCAATATAGTCACCACCTTTTTGATGGGTTTGCATTTCTGTTTTCAGATGATTAATTCTTGCTCGAGAAACGGAGGCATAGCGATCACAGAGATGAAGCCATGTCTCAAGCCATTTGACTCCCGATTACATTCAATTGCTTCACCGGACAAAGATGCAATAAGAAGGCTCAAGAGTGCCTTATCGGTGGGAAACCAGTCTTTATAGGCCATAGTGATCTCAGAAGTAGCACCTTCTTCGTCAACAATGGCGAATTTGGGAGGAGGAACAGATGAACCATCAAAGTGGCCGAACAAATCGTAGCCCTGAAGTACCAACTCTAGTTGAAAACTCCACTTCAAGAAGTTTTCGTCGTTAAGATGAATAGTAAGCATTCCAAGAAGGCAGTCAATTTTGAAAGAGGAGGCCATGAAAACAAAATTAGGGTTTTACAGAGAAATTTTGAGAAAGTTGCAGAGAATTTGGGAAATCGAGATTTGACAGAGAAATTAGGATTGACAGAAGAAAGAAGCAGAGGAATAAGAAAGAATAGGATGCGGAAGCAATAGAACTCAGAATTGAACCTAAGTTCATGGTACCATGATAACAGTAGAGAAGATTGAATAAGAAAGCAGAGAAAAAACTCATAATTTTGTATTGATCTTGATTAAGTAATGATTACAATGTAAAGCTCAGCTTATATACCTGATAACAGACTTAGAGACTAAGTAAACTCAGCTTAACAAACTAACAGATCCTACTAACAATTCTAACTAAAACACGTGACCTCCATGTGCTATTCTAACAATCTTAAGTTGACCTGGACAATTCCGTTATCAGGTTGGAGCAACTTTAATATTTAATTTTTGTTATTTCATGTTCATGTGGCAATTTAACATATCTGTTGGAAATGCTCTAATAGTCTTTTGCAAATCTATTAATTTTTAGTTATCAATTGATATAGTAATTTCTTAATTACTAAGAAAGAATAAATAAAGTCCAAAATGAGCTTTCGCATGAAACAAACTGCAACATCACTGGTGTCTCTAGTATTATTTGTATCATGTATGTAATGTGGATCCTCAAAAAGATTTTTTATAAAAAGAATCTATAAAGTTGCTTTTGTGGATATCAAGATTTTGAAAGATGACCCCACTGGTTGTCATACAACATTTAAGCCGATGGGGAATGCTAGCAACCTTCTCTCTAACCTTCTCTTTTGGACTTTCTCCCTTCTCCACATGACATGTGTCATTTTCTCTACACTTAAAACAATGACATTAATGCATTTAGACAATATATCTTTTGTTCCCAAATTTACCCTTATTAGATGTATTAAATTTAAATTTCCTTCAATTTACAACTTAACTTAAACAATTAAATTTAAAAAATAAACAATAAAAGTTCAATTAAATAAATATTTGAAAATAAAAACGAAGTATATTTCCCTAAAAAAAAATCTTTTTTTGGTTCCAAAAATAAGTTTTACAATAAAACAGTTAAAAATTATGGAATTAAAAAAAATACAGATAAATATTTTTTAAAATTAATGAACATTCTAATTGATTAAAAAAGTTAAAAGATAAATAGAAACAGAAAAAAAAAATTGAAAACCCAAACCGATTGCAGCATATCTCTCTCTCT